GGAGTGTGAGGAGGGAGATCATCAGGGAGCTATTCCTGTCTCTTATACACATCTAGATGTGTATAAGAGACAGTATTTAACTTGCGCCATGACCAACGTGTCATGTTTTTTTTTTTTTTTTTTTTTTTTTATATATGCCTTTCCGAACTCAATATTGATTAGTCACTTTTTTTTTGGTTTGTTTTTTTATTTATTTATTTATTGATTGATTGATTGATTGATTGATTGATTGATTGATTGATTGATTGATTGATTGGCTCCAACAATCCAATGGAATTGATTGATTCGATCGGATCTTGAAATAAAGATCCAATCGAAACAATCGATCCGATAGTCCATAAACAAAAATGTTTTTTTTTTTCTTTTTGATGGATTGATTCGCCCGGTTGGAAAAAGGAAAAAAGTGCGTTTGGAGTTTCTCTTGTGACTGTCGTGGTCCGTAGTTGCTGCCGATTGAAACCTGAAACGTTAGGAAGAGGAGGAGGAAGAGGAGGAGGAGGAGTGCGAAGAGTGCGAAGAGGAGGAGGAAGAGGAGGAGTAGTTGCTGCCGATTGAAACCTGTTTTTGTACTGAAATGCGCATATTTAACTTGCGCCATGACTAACGTGTCATGCACTTTTTTTTTTTTTTTTTTTGCCTTTCCGAACTCAACATTGATTAGTCACTTTTTTTGTTGGTTTGTTTTTTGATTGATTGATTGATTGATTCATTGATTGGCTCGGACAATCCAATCGAATCGATCGATTCGATCAGACCTTGAAATAAAGATCCAATCGAAACAATCGATTCGATAGTGATTTTTTTTTTATTATTGATGGATTGATTCGCCCGGTTGAAAAAAAAAGATCGGATCGGTTCGATTCATAGCCAATATCGAAAACGATTAGTCACTTTTTTTTTTTGGCTTTTTTTGATTGATTGATTGATTGATTGATTGATTGTTTGATTGATTGGCTCGGACAATCCAATCGAATCGATCGGTTCCATCGGATCTTGAATTAAAGATCCAATCGGAACAATCGATTCGATCGTCCATAAATGAATTGTTTTTTTTTTTTTGCTATTGATGGATTGATTCGGCCTGTTGAAGAAAAGGAAGAAAGTGCGTTTGGAGTTTGTCTTGTGGCTTTCGTGGTCCGTAGTTGCTGTCGATTCTAACCTGAAACGCCGGAAGATTGGCCGGACAGAGGAGGAGGAGGAGGAGGAGGAGGAGGAGGAGAACGAAGAGGAGGAGGAGGAGGATGAGAAGGAGGAAGAGGAGGAGGAGGAAAAGGCCGAAGCCAGCGAGGAAACCGATGAGGAAGAGGAGGATGAGGAGGAGAAAGAGGCCGAAGCCGGCGAGGAAGCCGGCGAGGAAGAGGAGGATGAGGAGGAGGAAGAGGAGGAGGAGGAGGAGGAGGAAGAGGCCGAAGCCGGCGAGGAAGAGGAGGATGACGAGGAGGAGGAGATTTAGGAGGAAAAGGCCGATACTGGAGAGCCCAAATTCATCCGACTAGAAAGTCTAGAAACCTTTCTACTCTATTTTTTCTTTTCCATGGCTGATAGCTGGGCCATGTACTGGTGGTTTAAGCAGCCTTTTTTTTTTTTTTTTTTTTTTTTTTGAGAAAAAGGCAACCCGAGTAAATGCTAGGGGTGCTGATAAAAGCAGAAGGTCTTGGGTTCAAACCCCATTGGCCCTGTCTCTTATACACATCTAGATGTGTATAAGAGACAGGTACTGTGGCGGGAGTCTGCCAACATACGGACATGTAACCTTCCACCTTAGCAGTCGACATACATACTCCTTCGTAACACAGAGGACGCCGGACCACACCATGACATGGCATGTTACTTCATCCCTAGTGTTGACATGCAATGGTACGACCCTTCAGGCTGGGTCTTGCAGCGCAGGTCCTTCATCCCTAGTGTTGGCATGCACTAACGCGGTCCTGCACCCCGGGTCCTACCAC